TCTCTCTTTTCCCTTTTTGTTTTTCCTCTATTTCGGGGCATGAAAAACATTATTATTTTTTCAAACTTTATTTGTAGATTCTCTATTGTGTAAGATACACATACATGAATTTTCATGGCATTTGTCACAGCCAAGCAAATGCTCGGCCACTCAATAATTTCATTCTCGTTTTATTTTTTCTAATTTTCATTATTATTATTTATTTTCAGTATTTGATTTTTATTTCAGATTTGGTAAAGAATTTGGATGTGACGTTGAGGCAAATGTTGTTCAGTTTATTCTTGTGCATAACATATGTTTTGTTCAGATGTTTTGGAATTTCTTTTTTTGTTTTGTTTTTTTTTGGACGAGAGCGTCGAGAGGGCGTGCTGAACGTTCGGCCGTTCGGCCCATCCCGAACGCCAGCAACCCTGACCCCCCCCCATTTTTAATTTTGTTTTTTTTTGGATGGGGGAGCCAGTGGCCGACCTGTGCAGACGGCGTGCGCGCCCCGATGGTCGGCGCGTGGTTCCGCCTGGCCGTGGCGCGGCCGACCTCCTCAGCCACGGCTGAGGGCCCAGGATCCACGGCCGAGGGTGTCACATGAGTGTAACACAGTACGTGCACACATTCCATCCAGTAGACACAGTACGAGTAATACCATACTCTCCATCCAAGAACAGGGTGCCATACAGTCATGGAGTTTAAACCACAAAACACAGACTCATGAAATGTGAACCCGGACGATCCGATTCGGGAACGTGGGGTTGCCTTTGTGGGAGATAGCTTGCAGCGAGACGTCAAGGGGATGTTTTAAATGCATGGACTATAATTGCTTTGTATTGGGAAATGGGAAATGGGAAATGGGACTTGCAGGTGTCAGGGCACGGTACACCTGTCAAGGTTTATGTTTTGAGTGTATTGCACGGACAATGAGCGAGAGCAATCATGGACAGAAAACCAAATTGCAATATCGCGCTGTTGACCAGATAGTCGTGTTACCAAGCAGAAAGCACAATGCACCGAGATAGCGGCCAAATAAGAGCAATACAATGAACTCAAATCTCAATCATGATGTCGACACTCTCTCGTCACACCAACATAGTATTCAATATTACCCTTCCTGATTGGTGCACAGTCCCCAGGCTGAGCCTGCTCTACTCAGGTACTACCTAGCCCACTACTACGTATATGCAACAGGAGTCTCTTCAAGCTGCAGACCAATGTAAGGGACGACATCGCCAATGCAGACTGCCAGCATACACCAGCTACGTGCCTCTTCTCTCCCCCTCCTCATCCCTGTCTTTCCCCACTGTGACAGTGTGCTCCCCTTCACCCGAAGACCACCATCGTCCACCGGCATCCCCGCGAGCAGGCGCAGCTATGGCCGCCCGCGCCCGCTGTCTTCCTGACCTGGCGTGTGTGTGCCAAGTAGCTTCACGTTGGGCCGAAGTGTCTGCGACTCTGCGCCCAGGCCCGTTCAGACTGTCGGCTGGGCCCGCAGCATAAAGGAAGCCCAACTGTGCCACACGGCTGCTGTCACTTGCTGCCTTCTCATTGGCTGTCAGGCCTCCCCAGCCACGTCGCTACCTTGTCTCCTATTGGCCGAGATCCTCTGCCCACATTACTCCTGAGTCCTGAAGTGATCCCACAGGCTCAGCTCATCGGGCTCACACAGGCGCTGTTCTGTAACCAACTGGCGGGTGGTAAGTGTCTGGCACCCCTCAATGCAGAGATGGCAAAAATAGGCCTCGTTTCCAAATGCAGGCCCACCTTCACTTAAAGCGGGCACGAGGCTGTGTGGGGGCCCCTTGGACTGTGGGAGGCCGCGGCCTAGAGCCCACAGCGAGGGCTCATTCCTCGCAGTATGGAGTTGGCATTTCAGCTCAAGGGCGCAGCTACCAACCCGCCTAACCTCAGGTTTAATGGACGAGAGTATCCCGCACCAGGAGACCTTATGGTACCCAGTCGCAAAGGCGTCACCCTCAGTTCCCCTGAGGTGCTGTGAGCAGCCCTTCAGTTCTCACCAAGAACTGCCTACCCCCAACGGGAACAATTTATTGGGTCATCCCTACAAGGGGTGCCTGCCCCTAGTGGGCGAATGCACTGTAGCCCAGCTGCTGGGCCGCAGGTATTCAGAGCCTGCAAAGCGCCTATGAAATGAAGAAAGGTCTGCCACAACCAGAAAACACCCTTTAGATGCACCCCTGGCAATAGGTACACAACACGGTGGCCACCTAGTAGCCTAGGAGTATCATTTCATCCGGGACAGAGTGGACCAGTTCCGCTATCTGAGTCGTCATGTGCTTCCAGACTGGTGCTGGTTCATCACCACGAGGATACAAAAGGAAAAGATGAGCTCGTGAAACTGAGGATCCCGAAAAGATGAGCTCGAGAAACTGAGGATCCCCTCCGTTTCAAAGTAGATCAAGACTCAGAGACCTACAGTTCGATCCAGCTGAATGAGGCTGGTTCATCACCACTGTGACAGGGGATAGAGGAGGACGGGAAGTGATAAGAACGCACTACGGGGGATAGAGGAGGACAGAAAGTGATAAGAACGAATGACTGCTAAGTAATACTAGGTTACGAGATACGGGACAACTCGGTAAACCCGCAAGAAGTAATCGCCACACACAGTGGACCAATGTTACATGCCCAGTTGGGCGATGTACATAATAACCGAGGATCCGCAATGTGATGAAAAGGACTGAATGGACAATGCAGTGCAAGACTTGGTGTAATCTCAACAAGCAATGTGCATTCCGATACATACAAAATGGTGCTTTACATCGCAGTGGAAGACTTAGATACAAGTCCTGACCTGACCGGGACTGACCTCTTTCACGTAGTACAAGATAGCGAAGCAGAACTTGAATGCTAGAATACTAATGACTAGCCCAATCAATGTTTCAACGCAGACCAAACATACATCATGCTCATCACAAGTGTGAAGGGGCCTGGCGCTATACACAGGAAAGAGGCGCCAGGTCCAGACATACACAGACGAAGAGGAAGGGATCAGACGAAGAAGAGGAAGAGGGGGATGGGAAAGTCGTCCACACCAAGTCTCGTTACAAGTCCCAAAGAATCCCTCTTCAAAATGTCTGAAGTCCCATGTCGAGTCTGAATCCAATGTCACCAAGCTCTCTCTTTCCCTCGTAGTCTGCTGATGCAGTGAAGTCAGATAGTGAGAGGGTGAGAGGGAGACGGTGGACTGAGAAAAGGAAGAAGAAGAACTCTCTCTCTCTCGTATACCAGGTACTAACCTGTGAAGATGGCGCTGTGCTGCAGGTTCCTCGAAGACGAAGCTCAGCCTGGAGCAACGGCGCTGCAGGTAAGTATCCCTGGCCTCCGCCCAATCTCTCTCTCTCTAGTACTACTCCAGCTATGGCGCCCAGCGCTGAAGACTACAGCTAACGCTACTAGCTCCCAGCGCTGGAGACTATTGCTAACGCTACTCTACTCCTGCAGCGCTCCTCCAGAGTGCTGCTGCCGAATTCTGAAGACCACTGACTGCCTCCTGCCTTCTGCCTGCACGTGAAGTGCCTGGGAAGTACCTAGGAGCTACCTCCCAACTACCTGCCTCCTGCAGGGCGGGCCAGTCTTATATAGTGCTGGCCAGTCCAGGAGGTTACCCTGGGGTTGAAGCTCAAACAAAGGCCGTCTTGAAAATAGGCCAAAAATGGCCTGAGCTAAAACCCTGGTCTGGTGCCTGAGTTTCAGGGCGGGTCGAACTGACGAGGGCCTGAAAATGGCCCTCAGTTTCAGGCTGAAAACACTCAGGGCCGGAAAGCCCCTGATTTAGCCTGAAACGACACAGGGCCTGTAGGCCCTTGTTTTCAGGCTTTCAGGCTGAAACGACACGGGGCCTGTAGGCCCTTGTTTTCAGGCTTTTGGCCTGAACACAACACGGGCCTGAAAATGGCCCGTGCAGCCTGTTGCAGGTGCAGCATGTAACAACCAACCACATGCAGACACAGCCCCAGTGGATGGAAATAGAAAGATCCAGATCAAAGAAGCTCAGAGTCTCCGGATCGGATTCTGCAGATAGCAGAAAAGACCAAAGAATGACACGGCATGGGACACGGATAGATCATGGAGGAATGGCACAGCCAGAGAAGAACTGGTGGGTATGGGAACACAGGGAAGGTGTCCACGACTTGGGTGCCTGAGAATATAATATCCGAGGCTGGCCTGAAATGCCATAGGAGAGGTCTGACTAGCATATTATGCCAAAGAAAAACTTCAAGGGGACCCTAATCTTCAAGTGACAAAACCCTGAAAACCTTAAACCCTATGTCCCCAACTCAGGTCGCGGCCAATGTAAGACCGAGATCTGGGAGGGACCCTATGTTCCAAAGCTGTAGTCATCGAAGTCCCGGAGCCGCTCGATTGACCTCGATCAACGTTCCAAATGAAAGTAGGGGTGTCGCCTATCAAAGAGCCCACTTTACCATACCCCAGATAATGATTACTCCATGACATTGTGTGAAAAAGGACAAATTTTGTCTCAGAGTCTTGGGAAGGGCCTGCTTGATAAATTTTGTTGTCCGTTTCCAATCAGAGTACTACGCGTGATGGAGCATTTGGGTAAGCAATTTCCCATGCTTGCATTGAGAGTCGATGGCCGCATTTCATCTCCATTTAGCCAGGATATTGTATATCATCGTGAAGTTATTCGAGGGCCCATTCCCCTGTCAGGCCTTCTATTTTGAGTATTTGACGAAGGAGAAGGCCATGCTTGGGGGATCCTCCAAGTGCTTGATCCGGCCCCTTTTCTGTGAGCTTCAAGTTGATTTTGAGGAAATGTTGAGGAGCTTGCCGGTCTTGCCAAGTGAGCTGCCGGGGAGTAATATTTGGTGGCGGCTGTGGTGAAGGGGACAACCACCATCCAACTGTTTCTTGCCAGTTGATCTTCATTTCAGAAGCCAGTTCAAAGGCTTCCATGGCGCTCGCGAGTGCTTGAAAGGAAGAGTCTGAGGCTCTGACGAGGGTCGTTAGATCATCTGCGAATAGCAGAGTGGTGGGTAAGATCACTCCATGTTCCGGCCGATGGGCCTCTGCAACCGACCGTTCAATGGAGGGGTCCTTGTGGAGAAAGGAGGCTATGGCTTCCATGTTAAAGCACCAGTATATGGGCACCTGGGCCGCGGACCTGACACCTCGAATTCTGGAGGCGCGAAACGAAAACGTGACCGCCGATCAAATTTATCAACGGCAGGCCCAAGGTTTGACGTTTCGGTCTCGTTTTCTTGTGTCGACAAAGTTTTAGACTGCAAGGCTGGGGTCATGTACTTGTGGTTTAAAGTTTAAAGAGAAACAGTGGTGCCGCCAGCGGATCACCCTCAGGCTGACGGACAGCATGAGAGCGAGACATTTGACAAGGTAGTGAAAGGAAACCATCGTGTCAGACCTGAACCTGCCGGTTAGGTGCTCGAACCCAGCGATGAAAGTTAGGACCGACTCCCATTTTTTCCATACATTGCTGTTGGAACTGCCAAATTGCCAATTGACATGATCATAAGTTTTTTCAAAGTCAAAGAACAACAAGATGGCCGCATTCAGTCTTTTACCATAATTGATGTAGCGTACCGTTTAGGACAGGGTCATATAGCATTGCCCAGTGTGAAACGACCTGCTATAAAAGAAAACCGGTTTCAATTTTGATCAATGTGGAAGTTTGGTTTTTTGGCTAAGATCAAGTGTAGTATCTGTTCTGATCAGTTTAATATCTGATCCGTGGTCCATCGGAACACACGATATTAAATTGATTTTTCTGGGAAAAAACAATAAAAAAATGGAACCATCACTCAGTAACTTTACTGAGTCGATTGGCTACCGATAGTAGCTTAAGCCAGAATAGAACGGCCGGTCATTATCGCTGCATCTGGACCGAAAGTTGTGCCAAATACAGATATAATGACCAGGCGATCTATTCGGGTGAAGACGGTAGTAGCTTAAGACAGAATCCAGAATTTCCTAGTATGCAACTGTCAACAGCGTGTTAGATGGGTCTGTGACTCTGTTTTTTTTTATTTTTTATTAAGCCCTTGTGTAAGCCCTCTATCCCGGTGGTGGTAAGAGAACCATCAGAAATGGGTCTGTAGTTCTTGATATCCATCAGATCACCCTTTTTGTATATTAACAAGGTCACAAGATCTCACAACGGTTACCCCTGTGCTGATGTATTTGCCAAGGCGTTCGTCCTGTTCTGCTTTGTGAAGGAATTGCATGTACTTTTACAGTATTTGTGCTCAAATACAGGCCAATAGATTTGCCAAAATTCTTTGGAAAGACCATCTCTCCCTGGTGTTCTGTTAGGCTTGAGCGATTGCAGTGCATTTCTGACCTCTTCTGGAGTTATGGGTTGGTCCAAAGCCTGAGTTTGTTCCGGCGGCAAGGTCCTGTCTAAATAGGAGAGAAATTTACGTCAAGGTCCTTTCTAAATACGAGAGAAATTTATGTCACTTGCTTGTCGTGTACTAACAGTGCTGCTGGGGCTTGGATCTTGCTCCTCTTCACAGATCTCTATCTCCACTGGCGACAACAGGCCCCACTTCGCTTCTTTACCACCACCCTCCTCATTCGCTCCGTCTTTGGCACCTTCACCCTCTCTTTTAGAACCCCCTACAAGGTTCATAAATTCCCCGGACATCGCCTCCGCAGCCTTAAGAATTTCCTCCATCACTCGCAGGTGGCATGCGATCCGGCTCCGCAATGCTGCCACCATGGCTGAGCTATTCCGCCTGACACCCGTGTTCGTGACTAAGATCAAACTGGGTAGCTGCTGCCCTGCACCCTGACCGGCGATCTGCCACATTATCTCTCCGTGTCGGAGCCCAAACATCCCGCCTCTGCTGCAGATGTTGTTGTCAATGCCTGACGGTTTCCCCTTCGAAGCCCCATTAATTGACCAGAGTTAATGCAGGTTCCCAAACCTTGTGCACCTCCTTTCCTCCCCCAGTGCTGCTCTCCTCCCTCTGGACTTGTGTCTGCTCTGCACTCTCCAAGATGCCACAGGCTGCCAACAAGGCTCCCGAAAGCGCGACGCAGAAGGATGTGGAAGACCCTCGACCTGTTCCCATCGGCAGCTGGGATGTCACTCTTACCTCTCCCTCCCTCCCTGCAGCCTATGATGTTCAGATAGAGGTGGAGGAACACCAACCCACAAGTCATCAGTGCATGGTCCTCCTGCTTTTCCTTCTGCACTTGATCCTGCACCAGCTCTCGCAGAATTCTGAGCAGGTGGTCATCGCAAGCCACCACCTTGGCAGGGGCACTCAGACTACTCTGCTCAGAATTCTGCAGTCAACCGCATACCCATAGCTTCCATGATCTCGCTGATCAGCCATGTGAGGCGAATTTCTGAGTCTGCAAGATGCAGAGTTCTGCTCTTTCTCGGACCCGGCGACGGAATAAGGGTCCATGAAATCATCCATGGTTTCCTTCTCATTCTTGTCAGAGATAGAAGCAATGACAGTTGTCAGTAAATCGATGCTTGCTGCTTCAGCTGTCATTGCATGTACGACGGCATGCTTCCCGAAGAGGACTTTCCCAGGTGCAGTGGCGCCCCAAACCACGCTGTGGTCCCCCCACCCCATGACGATGGAAACCACTTCTTCACAAAGGACCTTGGGGGTGGATAGCTAAGTTTGATGCTATAAATAGAAACAATCTGTCCAAGGGTGAAGACAAACGTTCGCCCACTTCTTCCAAATCTCCAGATCTCTTTGTTTTTCAAATTCTGTACGTTTCTGTATCAATCAACCCGCCAGTTACAGACAAGCAAGAAACACATCAGACAAACACCACAAGATTAGACCCTTCAGCTCCAAAGCAAGCATGACCCGCACACACACACACACACACACACACACACACAGAGAGAGAGAGAGAGAGAGAGAGAGAGAGAGAGAGAGAGAGAGAGAGAGAGAGAGAGAGAGAGA